ACCCTGTCTAAAAAAACCAAAAAAAAAAAAAAAAAGCTTTAAGGTCTTATTTTTATCAAAAGATACCACTAAGAGAATTAAAAAGTAAGCCAGAGAAGGAGGCTGTATTTGAAACACACATAACTAACAAAATATTCATATACTGTGGATATGTTACTGAACTTTTTCAACAAATCAATTTTAGAAAGATAATCAACCAACAGAAAATTACAAAGAACCTTAAATAGGCAACAAAAAGATATCCCATCCCCAGCACCACAAAAAAATTAAAAGATATTCAGACCAAGCATGGTAGCACATGCCTCTAATCTCAGCTCTTGGGAGGCTGAGGCAGGAGGGCTGCCAAGAGTTCAAGGGCATGCTGAGCTGCATAATGAGTTCAAGGCAAGCCTGGACTACATAGCAAGACCTTGCCCCCCCCAAAAGATAAACAACTTTAAACTCAGTTTCAGAATGGCTACAGTTTTTTAAATACTGTTGATACCAAGTTTGCTGAGGATGTAAAGCAACCAAAACTTCGTCACGTAGTGGCAATAATGGCAATTAGCGCAGCTGCACTGAAATACCACTTGACAATCTCTACTACAGCTGGCAGTGTCTGCCTGTTAGCCAGAAGTTTCCTCAAGAAGTAAGAGGTGATGAAAACCAAAGATATTTACAAAAGCCGGGAATTTAGCTCAGTGGTGCTGTGCCTGCCTCACAAGTACAAGGTCCTGAGTTCCATCTCCAATACAGGGAGGGGGAGGGAGACGACACTTTTACAAAAATTTCAGAGTGAGGTGATAAGTGATTCATCTGTAATCCAAGGCAAAAGAATGGTTACTTTGTTGAGAGGCAAGGAGATCATTGACCAGAAGACAACATGAGGAAGCCCTCAGGGAGACCAGAAACCTCCTAGAAATTCAGTCAGTCAGGTGTGTGCATATGGGAAAGATTACTGAGCTGTATGCTTGCTATTTGTGTTCTTTGCTCTATATAAGTCTTAAAAAGAAGAAGGGCTGGGGTGTAGCTCAGTGGTAGAGCATTTGCCTAGCACACGTAAGGCACTGGGATCCATCCCCAACCCTACTGAGGGGTGGAGGGAGGCTGGGGATTTAGCTCAGTGGTTCCATCACTGCCTCACAAGCCCAAGGCCTGGAGTTTGATCCCCAGTACCAAAAAAACAAACAAAAAGGGAATAACTGAGGGGTGGAAGGAGAGGGAAAATGGACAAGAAACAGAGCATATCCTCTCCTTGGTCCATCTTTTCTTGGTATCTTGATTTATTTCCCTGTGCCACCTCACTAAAGAACTTGTGGTGCCATGTATGGTTCTTTGCATCCCAGGCGTGTGCCTTTATCTTGTCTACTGGAGATACTCATTCCTCCTAGATGCCACATGTCCCCTGAGAATTGCAGGAGGCCCTTTAGGAAGTAAGGGTCTCCTAAAGTTTCCAGTACACTTTCACACACATAGCATACTGGCCAACCTTTCAGCCCCCCTCAGAGCCTCAGCCAGCAACTCCATCCCAAAGACTGGCTTTGAGGTGCAAATGAACTTGGCAAATGACCACCTCTTGCCCAGTAAGTGCCCCAAGCTTAAGAAACTGAACTGTTAGGTATTTTGAAAGCTGAAAACCAGTAGATTTTCACCACAAATAGGCCTTTTTATCTTCAGTTCCCAAAGACAGCTGCTAAATCTGTCACACTAGTTCCCATCTTTTTGGACTGTATTGCTTCATATAAAACCTGAGACCAAGGTTTTCATCTCTTCAGCTGTTTAATACAAACAGAATTTTATTGTGACTAGCCAGAGAATGAAAGTGTCATATCTCCTTAAGATATGGAAGACATTGGAGAATTATGTCTGGTTCATTAAAAACTCTTCCTGTCACTTAAGACTATACAATTATTCATGCATATACTGTATCTCTGGGAAGTAAAAAATGTAGAAAAACTAAAAAGTATTCCCTCATGTTTTAAAACGTCTTTGGACTACAAACAAACAAATAAATAAATAAACAAATAAATGCTACAACAAATAAATGCTAAGATATGGCTTTGATTTTGATGGGGCTCTGAGAATTTGGTACGTAGAAGACAAAGTTGAACACTTGCCAGGCCTCAAATGGCGTACAGAAATGGGGTGGGGGGAAGTTCTACTTAATAAAAGTAGAAAATAATGTACAAAAAATCAGCTCACCAATCAGCTTAGTAAAATCTGACATATTCCCACACTTGCTTAGATCCTTTTCATGTAAAATAAATTCCTAGTTATTTGTTGAAAGCCCGCATTTTCCCCACCCTGCCATTATCCCCCCTCTGTGCTTAGAGGTAGACACTATTTTCTGATTTTGATTTTTACATTCCCATATGTGTTTTGGTATATGTGTATATATTCACAAGTGATATGTAGTTTTGTTTTGCTTATTTCTAAGCTTTATATAAATCGTACTCTACATACCATTTCCTCTCTTGCTTTTTATGCCCAACTGAATTTTTTGAGATTTACACTTGTTGAGATATTATTTGTGTTCGTTCATTTTAACTTCAATACCGTATTCCATTGCATAAATACGCCACAATTTGTTTATTCATTCTACTTTTTATAGACATTTAGGTTGTTTCCAGTCTTGTTTTGGCAAACAATGGGTACAAGAAACATTTTTCTGCATGAACAAGAATTTCTCTAAAGAATATAAGGGCTGGGGATTTAGCTCAGTGGTTATGCCACCTGCCTTGCAAGCACAAGGTCCCGAGTTCGATCCCCAGTACCAAAAAAAAAAATAAAGGAATATAAGTTAAAATGCTTTGTTATAGGTTATATGCATCTCCAATTAAGAAAATATTACTAAGCTCCCCAAAGTGCTTCAATTAATATATGCTATGCATTTCAGTGCCAGACTCATGCCAGCTTGCTTCTTTTCTTTCTTGCTGGTGCTGGGGATTCAATCAAGAGCCTGGTCACACTAACAAAGGGCTCTACTCCTGAGCTTCATCCCTAGCCCCAAAACTTGTCAGCTTTTGACTTTTTTCTTAAAAGCAGGTCCTCACAAAAACTAATTGTGATGTAGCATTCCTACCATTACTCCTGGCAATTGGTGGTCTGCCAGGAAAATCATACCCTTCCAAATAATTTTTAATTTTTATTGGTACATTTTAGGTATACCGTACAGTTACATTCATCATTGGGATCCTGTACTTTTACATGACAGGTCTTGGTTCTCATTTTTTCCCCTTGTCCCTGCCCTCCCTTCACCCCCTCCTCCCCTCCCCATTTGCAAACACTTTATTTCCATTTTTTCATTTTCTCATATTTTCCTTCCAAATAATTAGCATCCAAGAGAACTAGGACCAACAAACAATAGTAAATGATAGACTGTTGCCAAGATACATTTGAATTTGGTTAAATCTCCTACCTCCTTGCCTAGTGTCCAGAGAAACTCAAAATACTATAGCAACTGTTTTTGCCTAATAAAAGATTTTTATGACAGTTTTCAACGACAATGAAGGCATAGTGTATGTTGCTGGCAGGTGTATAAACAGGTACAGTCCATTTGGAAAGAGATTCCTATTTGTATTTGGAATGTTCAAATGTTCTTATACTTTGGCCTATACCAGACTCTGCTATAATCCCAGCTACTCAGGCTGAAGCAGGAAGATCGTGAGATCAAGGCCATACTGGGTAACTTAGTGGGACCCCCGTCTCAATCAAAACAAAACAAAATCTCCTCTGGAAATGCTATTGTGCACCTAAAATATGATATAAGGCTGTCCACCTTAGTATTTGTTAATAATAATAAAAAATCTAGGAGCAAATTAAAACAGAATGGTTTAATATCTTAAACTTATACATACTCATAACCCATAGAGTACTATGTAGCCATTAAAAGTTATGATTTTTTCAATACAGTACTGTCAAGATGGGATAATAGAATGTAAAAACTTTATATATTAAGTGAAAAAAACAGGCTTTTAACTATATGTACACATAGAAAATATGATTCTGGTTTCCTTTTTTAATATACACAGACCAGCAGGAATTTTAGCCCATTTAATTGTGATATCTTGATGTTGTTTTTCCTGGATAATGGGAAATACAGTTTTTCTTTTGTTTCACTGAGCTATGTCCCCAGCTCATTTTTTATTTTTTATTTTGAGAAAGGGTCTTGCTCAGTTGCCGAGGCTGGGTTTGAACTTGTAATCTTTCTGCCTCAGCTTCCCAGAGTCCTGGGGTTACAAGCATGCATGACCACACCTTAGTTTTTTTTTTTTTTCCTTTTATAGGTCTGTTTATTTTCGAGGTTTTCTGCGATGTGAATGTGTTGTAGATATAACCAGAAAAACAGGAGGAATCAGCATGGCTCTATGAAGTATTGTTCCTGTGAAGTGGCTAGTAATGCTCTTTTTTGACCCACAGCTGCTGCTGGACACCCACTCCCTGAAGATGGTCCTGCTCGACCTTCCTTCCATTGGCTCGCAGGTGGTGAGGAAGGCACCTGCCAGCTACACTAAGATTGTTGTGAAAGGCATGACCCGGGCCGAGATGATCCTCAAGGTGATGGTTGTCTTCCTTGGGGATTCTGTCAGAGAGGGCTGGTTATTTATCTGATCCCTAATTCCAAGAAGTTTGGGTTTTGAAGCTCAGGAGGACATACCCCACCATTCCCAAAGGATTGTCCACATTCCTTGGCTGGACTAAATTGTGGCCTCATCAGATATTATTGCAAGTCAGCAGATAGTTACTTGGGGATCAGTAATTCTGACAAATGAATTCTCTGTTGTCACAGGATTCCCTCATAATCATATTTAGCCAAGAGTGGGGGTGAGGTGGCGTTGTCATTGTGAGTCAGGGTATCTATCAGTTAGGGATTCTTTTGCTTCTCAGCAGGAATTTCAGGCCCAGCTGTCAGTTCCTCCCTTCCACATAAGCCTCTTTAGCTTTCTATATTTTACACCTTTAAACGAACCCTGAACAGATGTTGCAGTAAGTAAATCTAATCAGCAAATGGGTTTTTTAAAGCCTCATTTAACAAGATTGTACTTGGGGGGATGGTGCTGAGAATGTCTGCAGCTTGGCGCATCTGCCTCTGATTTCCACCTGTACTTGTAGAGAAAGGAGAGGAGGCTAGAAAAGAAACACCACCATCCTGTTAAGGTCTGAGAGTCCTGGGCCTGCAGGCTCCTCAGCTTTTTCCCAGACAGCATGACCCAGTGACGGCGGGAGTGAAGCGTGGCGGTGGTCTGCAGTCACGGGGGGACCTGCACAGACCTTGAGGTGTGGCCTGAGAAAGCTGAAGCTGCCTGATGGCTCCCCTTATGTCCAGGGAGAAGAGCATGCGGTTTGGGAATTATCCGCAGAGGACTTCTGAAGGCACTGTGAGCCTTGCCACCCTTTGGTACATTCTCAGGAACTCAAAACAGGATCAGTCAGCTGGGAAAGAAAATCTGATGCCACATTCCAAAACCAAATGGAAATGACTGTGATGCCATCTGTTTATATATTGACAGTCTAAATGAATGAGGTTAAATGAAGTTCGAGATTATAGGTCTTCAAAAGAATAAGGCAGCTGGCTAGGGGTGTAGCTCAGTAGACTGCTTGCCTCTTATGTGAAACCCTGGGTTCAATATCCAGTACCAGGGGGCAGGGGGTGAGGCAGCTTTGAGTTGTGTTTTAGAAAATCAGTTCTTTTTGCCGCTTTTTTATTTTTTCTTTCCAGAAATAGAGCAGATACCCTGGTACTCATGAAATGCACCCATGAGAGATCTCTAAAGCAGTATTTCCCAAATAGTCCCAATGATTACAAATCTCCCAGCCAGGCCTACTGAATTAGAATCCTCAGAGGTGGGACCTAAGGATTCTGTATGTTAAGCAACTCGGAATATTTATGACTTAGCAACTTTTGGAAACATTGCTCCAATTGATTATGAAGATTAAGTAGGCATCAGGGCCAGGCGTGGTGGTGCATGCCTATACCCAGCACTGGGGAGGCTGAGGCAGGAGGAACTCTGTGAGTTCGAGTCCAGCCTGGGCTACACAGTGAGTTCCAGGTCAGTCTCAACTACATAGTGAGACCCTGTCTCAAAAAATAAAGAAATAGGCAGGCATCAGGCATTCCTTGAGTTTGGGGTAACTGCTGCTTCAGGGAATTTTGCAGGTCCCCTTGGCAGCCAGCTCGCAAATGCCCTCTAACTGAGAGTTCTCCCTGAGGGCTTACTCTTGTCCCCTCCCTTGGCAGGTGGTGATGGCCCCCCATGAGCCCTTGGTGGTGTTTGTGGACAACTATATCAAGCTCCTTACAGACTGCAACCCAGAAACCTTCCAGAAGATACTGGACATGAAGGTGAGCCCAGTGTCTTGCTTTGTCTACTCCTACTTTTGCTTCTCATACTGAGGGGTGAAACTCCTGCGGGCTGCCTCAAAATGCGTATCACTGGCCCCACCCTGCAATTTGGATTCCAGGAATCCTTCCTGAGAGGCTGATCCCTGCCCAGCTGAGAGCTACTGCTCTTCAAAGCACAGCAGAAGGGGAGGGAGGAAGAGCAGGACGGTTTTCCTTCCCTCCATCTACCTGTCTTTTCTTCTCTCTCACCTCTTCCTTCATGGCTACCATAGTACTTTGTTTTTCCTTCATCTGCTTTTCTTTCTTCCGAAGACTGGTAATTCCTCTGAAGAAAGCTTTTGTCCTTAGTGTGACCCCAGTATTCAGGTGGGGCCATTTGCTGAGCCCTCTCCTTTCTCTCTCCCCAGGGGCTGAAGAGAAGTGAGCAGAGCAGCATGCTGGAGCTCCTGCGCCAGAGGCTCCCTACCCCACCCTCAGGGGCAGAAGGTTCCAGCTCCCTGTCCCTGATGGCACCCACCCCAGAACAGGAGTCCTCTCGAATCCGAAAACTTGAAAAACTAATTAAGAAGAGACTGTAGAAGCACAAGGAGCTCTCACTCCCTGAGACGCTCAGCACCCAGTTTCTGGAAGCCCTTGATCACCCGTGTTAACCCCATGACTCTCAAATCCTCAGTCTTGAGACTTCCTGGGACACTGAGATTGTTTTGCCCTCTTGCGCCCTGTCATCTGTCGCCCCCCCCACCCATCCCCCTCCTCATCGAACTCAAGTTCCTGCATTTGCAAGGCAGGAGGCAGAACCACTGAGCTATATCCCTGGCTCCCCTCATGCTCTGTCTTAATTCCTGTCCCAATTGAGGAAACTGATTTGGACGGAGTTATAAAAAGGCAATTTGCATTATCTCCCATTCTAAGGGAGAGGCAGCCTCGAGTGAGAAGGCTCTGGTTCAGTCACTGTTTCCAGACTGCCCTTGACAGTGCAGTTGTCATGGACTTACATAGCCTCCCACGGCAGTCATACCCTCTGGCTCATGGGCCCTCCCCCCTACCACACGCTTGTACAGGTGGCTTGGGTGACAAAGCATGGACCTTGCCCTTCCTCCCTTACTACTGTTTGGGGTTTTCCTCCCTGTATCTGGGATCGGGTGTCAGACCTGAGTGATGAAGGAGCAGGTTGCAGGGCAGGACACCACCCTTTCTTATGAAGGCAATGGAAGCATGTGCACTTTTCCATGTAAATCTGTTTTCTGTTATGCATTGTGCTCCTGGTACCTTTTATGTGATGGCCAAGTTTGCCTATGTTCTCCCACTGCTTGGTGTTCTCTAGAGGATAGATGCCCTCTTTGTCCTCACCAGAGAGGACTGCATGCACCAGGTGTTCACTCTCGGTAGCCTGTGTGGCACAGGCTCCTGAACTTGTGTGGAAGCCAACCCAGATTTGACTTAGAGATTTGGTTCTGCTTGGCACAGGCAAGGATAGTGTCTGTACATGTTCTCAGGGTTTGTGAGCAGATCGTTTTCTCCATTTCTTTATTCCTTCTCTGCCCCTGAGTTCTAGAGAAGAGATTGCCTTCTAAGTAGGGAAACCAGAAAGTTCTCTCAGAAAGCCTTTCCTAGGCTTTCTCTGCAGATGAAGCCGTGAGAAGGAGTAGGAAGCCTACATCATCTGATCATCTTCCTGCTCATTCATTTCCAAGTCGAGAGTACTTTCCAGCCACCTGAAACAACAGAAAGTAATGTGCGGTGCCAGAGTGGCACACTACTGGGCTGCTAACCAAAAAGAACCCAGTCCTTGGATACCTAAGAGCAAAATGTTGTCATTACACCCCAAACTTAAAACTGGCACTGCCCAGAGCACACCCTGACCCCCAGCCTGCCTACCCCAACTACCACTGGCTCTTGGCAGCAGCACTCTGCAGAAAACTGGTCCGAGAGCTGCTTCAGTCCTTTCACAACATCCTGCATCCGGGGAACAGGTGACATTTCAGGAGTCACCCCAGTTCATTGGTCCATTTAAACCAAGGCTCAGTTAACCATGTCTGCACCCTCAGCAGGACTACTGTGAGTGACAGCTTTTGTTCAGGTATTATATGTGCTCTCCAGGCAGGGAGAGTGCTGAGGAGGAAAGTGGAGCTCTCCACAGAAAATGTACATACCAGGCCTCTGAATAAAATTGAAATAACAAGGGCTAGGGGTATAGTTCAGGGCAGAGCACTTGCCTAGCATTCTTGAAGCCCTGGGTTCCATCCCCAGCACCACTCACCAAAAAAAATATCACATAATACTCAGAAGTGAGCTTTGAGGATTGGAAGTTTTCAGAAAAATCCATAAAACCAGTGACAGTCATATAGTAGAACAACTGAAAAACTGACCAGGAACATCAATTATTTGTCCCCATCTGTTTTTCTAGTGTAGCCACTGTACTGTTCCCCTTGCGTTTTCCATTGGCCTTCTCTGGCTTTGTCCATCAGTCCCAGCTTTGATCCCTCTGTGTGGGTGGGTGGGCGCAGCATGCTAGGCAAGCACTGCCACTAAGCTACACCCACAGCCTCAGATCCCCACTTGATCAGCCTTCAGCATGTTCTTGGTACTCAGTAGGGCTCTTATGTAGTCAGCATTTCAAATTTGAGAACAGAGGGGAAAAAGTGGTGAAAGAAAGAGGCGTGGCCTTTAGTTGAGCTCTATCAGGAAGAGACTCTGAATTAGGCAAGGGCAGGAAGGGTGGGGAGGGGGTTGGAGCACATCCTGGATGCTAAAGGGAGGGATTCCTGTGCTGTGGCCGTTGCTCCACTATGGTTATACATCCTGCACTAATTGAAAGGAAAGGGTGGTGGGCCTGTCTCCAAACAGCACAGCCAATTCAGCCATCTGTCATCGACCTCAGGGAACTGGGAAAGCCAGTGAGACTCCTGCACCTGGTTCTTGTCACTCTTGGTGTTTACAGATCTACACTTTTCTTTTTGGTTAGCTCATGAGTTTCCTAGATGTCTCCATTATGGCATTGAGGTGTCAAGCTGCTGTTTTTCTCAGTTGGTGGTCACAGCCAGGGAAGTTGCTTTCTTGATTTATTACATTGTCAGTAATCCCCAAGGAGCCAACATGTCAGTAGGAGTTATGTTAAATGTCTCACTGATGGGGACTGAGTACTGTGTGTGCATTCGGTAAAGATGGTGCATGTTTCTTACCTGGGGAGATACATCAAAATTACTGGGTTTTTTTTTTTTTTTTTTAATGCAGGTGCCAGGAGATTTTGAGTCAGTAAGTCTACAGGGGATCCTGGCATATAGGTTCAAAAGCTCTGCAGGTGATTACAGTTGTCTGTCAATGTCCAGAAAGATCAGCTGCAGGACCTCCCATGGATACTAGAATATGAAGATGTTCGAGTTCCTGATATAAAATAAAATAGTATTTGCATATGTTCTCAGCACATTCTCCTCTGTAAGTCATCTCTAAACAACTTATACTACTAATACAATGTAATGCTACACACATAGTTATACTGTATTATGGAATGGTGACAACAAATAATGTACATATTCAATACAAAGCACAGTGACTTGCTTGTGATGGAATGCACAGATATAGAACCCACAGATACAGAAGGCTGACTATATAATGTTTATTCTTTGTTAAGAATCATTCCAATAAAGGGCTGGGGATTTAGCTCAGTGGTTCTGCTGCCTGCCTCACAAGCACAAGGACCTGAGTTGGATCCCTGGTACCAAAATAAATAAATTTTTAAAATAAAAGGGCCGGGCATGGTGGTGCACACCTGTAATCCCAGCATTCAGGAGGCTGAGGCAGAATGATTGCTGTGAGTTCAAGACCAGCCTGGGCTACATAGTGAATTCCAGGTCAGTCTCAACTACATAGTGAGACCCTGTCTCAAAACCCTAAATAAATAAATAAATAAAAATTGGTAACTTATAAATAGTTTGCTACTACTTATTATGGAGTGACTTCTTGGATAACTGGCTTCAAAGTGGAAGGCTTGGGCTGGAGATTTAGCTCTGTTTCCACCTGCCTCACAAGTGCAAGGACCTGAGTTCGATCCCCAGTACCAAGAAAAATAAATAAGAATGTTGTCAAATACCAGCCGGGGATTTGGCTCAGTGGTTCCGCCACCCGGCTCAAGCGCAAGGGCCCAAGTTTGATGCCCAATACCAAAAAAAAAAAAGTGGAAGGCTTCACAAAGTTCCATTTGGACCATACCCACAATGGACAGGATGATTTGATTTCCAGTTGAATCCTGGAATTGAAGCTGTCACCGCTCCTCTCTGGCAAAATAACTGTACCCAAGAACCTGCCCAGCACCCAGATAAGCTGTGTCCTTTCTCACAACTAGAATGGCTCCTCCATGCAGATCAAACAGGAATGGAAGCAGAGAAGCTTATCCAGTGAGGGGCACATGGTATCAGCAGGTTGGAGGCATGCCCAGTGCATGGGATGTTACGTGGGTCCGTCCTGAATTCTTGTTGGGAAGTGTCTGTCCCTGTTTACGAATGCTAAGGGAAATGCCAGAAGTTCACAGCTGGATATATAATTCCTCTCCTTAGGAAGAGAAGTCTCAAAATAACTAGCTTGCATGAGGGTGAAGGCAAGTGTTCCACACTTCTTGTCTACTCCAAGTCAGATTCCTAAAAATAAAATCATTAGAACTGGCTGCATTGGGCCATTTAAGCACTAGCCTTGGAAATGTGGACTCATGAAAAGCTGGCAGAGGTAAAGAATACCAATGCATTTTATATGTTAAATACAAATTTCCACTCCCGTCCTAGTTTCCATCAAAATAGCTTCTTGGACCCTAAAGTTCTATACCTTTGGGAAATCTAGATTTCTTTAAAGGGATTGCTTTTTGTGTAAATATCATTTTGCCCATCTGGAACTGATTCGTTGGTGCATATCGGAGTACAAAATACTGCAGTTAATTAAAGCATTACTGGATGTCATTTGCTAGAATGTCTTTTCCTACTGCTGACAGAAAACAGAAGGGACTGTAGGAGAGAATTAGCAAGCCCATGAACCTTGGGGTCCACCCGAGACTGCCCTCCCAAGTGAAGGTCAGGGGGAGATGTGCCCCTTCCCTTACCGTCTAAGGAAGCAGTGCACAAGAAGGGAATGTGACAATTTTGAGCCAGTGTTGGCCTGTTCAACGGTGATGGCAACCTCTCTCTCTGAATATGTGTAAAGTTTCCTGTTTCTGATTTGGAATCCTCCTTGCATTCTGAGTTTCTACCCTGTTGACATTCCTGTCCCTATGCTCCCTGTTCCAAACACAGCCTGCCTTCCCATGTGGCTGCCAAGCAATTCCTCTCCTGTATACAGTAAGTTAATCCTGTTTCCTTCATAACTGGGTGGGCACTTTGCAATGAAAACTTTTGGAGAAGTCAGATGTTTCTTTCAACAGTGGAAAATCTGCTACAGCACTTCCATTAGTTTGGCTGCATGATTACCTAGTTTCCATTCTTTGTTGTCACCAGCTCCCTCCTTCAGTAGGGCAGCCAGGGAGCCGTCTAATGAGAAGAGAAATGCTTCCGAGTTACCCACTCAGAAGGGCAGTGTAAGTTGATTTACCTACCAGTTCCCTGCCTTCTCACCTACATAGCCAGGCATGGGAGGCGCTGATGAGCAGCAGCCTATGAAGAATTTGTCCATTGAAAAAAAAGCAGACTGTAATGGAAACTTCCACAGAAGCCTGCTCTGCAGCCTGATCCTGGCATTTTGACACTGGGAAAGTTTGGGAGAGTCACTGATCCTCCAAGCCTCGCCTTTCAATACACGTGAGAGGGAATTATAATCAATAGGGCTGCAAAGGCCACAGAACAGGTTGCATGTGAGGCTCTAAGCCATGGCCAGTGGGAAATGATAATTGTTACCATTTCCCAGGATGCAAGTCTGGCGGGCAGGCCTAGATGGCCAGTGTTCTCCCTGGGTTCACTTTAATAAAAGGGCCACATGGCGACATATCTTGTGGCTGTGTACAAGCTGCATCCGCAACAGCATCAGAATATCTAGTCTTTGCCTTTTTAGGTCATGATTCTGATATTCATCTTACTCAAGCATTAAAAGACTCTCCATTCCGTATTCCTCTTGCCCTGGCAGCTGCTGTTTCCGTAGCATTCAGGGATAAACCTGCAGGCACAGAAAATCACTTCCTCCCTCCTGCTGGTGTTGGCTGAGCTGCCTGTTGTGGAAAATACAGCCTTTTTCTGCTGAACACAAGCTAGAAGGGTTGCCAAAGGCTTCCTCTCAAAAAAATGTTTTTATGTACAGTGTTTGATCCACAGATTGTAGACTCTTCAGCTAGTTGCTCCTGGGAGGAACAGAATTCTTGCCTGGACTCTTTATTTATTAGCCTATAATGCCTAAAAAACTAAGCAAAATTTTCTTGAGACAGCCCTAACTGGGAAGGAACAGTTGCCTTTCAAAGAAGTTCAGATCTTTCTCAAGGGAGTCCCTGTATTGAGCTGCAGAGTCCCCACCTGGCTCTTTCAGTAGGCTTTGCGGTTGATTCAGAGACTGTAAGGTGGTAAGAGTGACATTAAAATAGAAAATGTAAGGGCAGGAGATATAGCTCGGAGGTAGAGCTTGAGATCCTGGGTTTCATCCCTAGCAAAATAATTAGTGTTAAATCCTTGCTCTGTAGGAATGTTTCTCAACCTGAGGGCCCTGGTAGCTTCTGCTCAGTAATCAGATGGAATCTGCGCGTTTTCCATGCTTCCTTCTGTTTGCGGTAATTTTTCAGCAAGTGAGCAATTAGGAACAGCTTCTCCACAAATTTCCCTCCACTTCTGGGGCCAAGAAAAGTATTGGCAAAGCTAACCGCGACTTTCAGGGGTACCAGGTGAAACGGAGGCAAGAAACGCCAGCTTCCTCGGCTCTTGGCTTAGTGCTGGTGAGAAAGGGGCGCGAGCGGAAACGCCAGCTGCCAAAGAGACCGCATTCCACAGCCTGCTTCACCAAGGAAAACACTGAGACAGAGCCGAATGGAGCCACCACTGAAGAGCTTTAGCAGGCAAATGTAAAAATATCAAGTGCTGTGTGAAGCTGTGAAGAAAAGGTCGGTTCACACACAGCCCCACAGCCTTTATCAGGCTTGGCGCACTCCTTGCTCCGCGTTTAATTCTTGTGATCCGGTGTTAGTTCTGCAGGCCGCAAAGTAGGTAGGCAGAGGGAACCTGGAAGGTAGTAAGGGTCCCGATGGGCTTAGCCCAGAGCCTCTGACTCGCATATCCGATCTTCCATGGTGAGGAAGGAAAAGGAACTACCTACTATTTCCTGTGTCCTGAATATTGGATAGCCCAGCATTAGATCTCATGGAATCAGGATCTCCCTGAAATAGATATGATTAGCTGTATTTTGTCGATATGCCCAAAGGATGTTATTTTTCCTTCGCTGTTTCCAGGTCCCATCTACAAAATGGAGTTAATCACAACTTTTTTTTTTTTTTTGAGTGCTGTACTGTAACTTGAAACTTGAACCCAGGTCCTTCACACTGAGCTACATCCCAAGCCATTTTATTTTTTATTTTGAGACAGGGTCTCACTAAATCATTGAGTTGCTCCTGCCGGAACTTTTGATCAACTTGCCTCAGCCCCTCAGAGTGCTGGAATTACTATTGAGGTCAGCCTGGGCTGTGTAGTCAGTTCAAGTCTGGCCTGAACTACACACCGACCCTGTCTCC